AGTCATCAGAGACAGAACGACATGTTTCAGTGCGACCTTGTTGGAAACGACGAGTTGCTGCACTTTCGTATGTAGGTCTGTTTTTACCGTACATCTTGAAATAAGCGAGTTGGATAATCATTTGGACGTAGGCGTCAGGTGAACATTTGAATTTCTTGATGAGACCTTTGCCATAACCTTGGTAGGCTTGTACGCGGAGTTCGTGTGCGGCAATGACTTCATTGAAATCTTTGGTCGCACACTCGATTTCTGATTGAACTTCCTTTGTGATGTGGAATTTGAGAGGTGTAGGATCGGGGAGGTTAGAACGAATGGAGGGATTGGAGAAATCGAGTTTGTTATTGAAGATGACTTCATTTACGTAGTCATTCAAACGATGGGTAGGTGTTCCGTCCATCATGGAATGCTCGCCCATGAAGCCGGATGTACCGTTATCGTTGATGATGAATTGGAGAGGTTTATCAAACCAACGGTTTGCGCCATCACCGTGCCAGTATTGATGGGCTCTTTCTTCGAGGGTAACCGGAGAAGCATCATCTAAGCAAACAACGAATGAAGCAGATTCAATGTCTTTGAGAATCTTAGCATTTGATGGGTTTGCCTTGAGAAGAACTTCACGAGCATCAGTCCAGATATCGCGGTTCTCAGATGTAAGAATTCCGACTGCTGGTGTCTTCTCGGCTTTCTCATAGATACGCTTGAATTGTTGTTCCAACTCAGAAGTATTTAATTGATTTCCATCAACTTCGTGCATAACCTTGAAGAATTGATTCTTTCGTATGACCAAAATATGTTTATTTTCCTCCGCAGCATATTTGACTGGGTGATCTGCTGGCTTCGAGGGAACTCTGCTGGCGTTGAACATCCATTGATAACTTTCCATAGAAATTGGGAGTTTCTTCATGTACTCTGGTTCCAAAGTTCCGCTGTCCACTTGTTTCTTGAATTCCAAAACTGCAGTACTAATTGCGGCAGCTCTCTTGGATGGATCGCGCCGCCTTCTATCATCTCGGTGAGAATAAAAGTAGCTGACATATGGAACAACTGGATCTCTGTAGCTCAAATATGCTGCATCGTTCCACCACTCATATATCCAATTCTTGTGTTTAGGATCTTCTCGACGAGCAATTAACTTCTCTTGAAGTTTACTACCAATTCCACCTGGCTTTATGAATTCTTGAACAGCTTTTGTGGTGTTTTGCAATTCGGAGGAGGTAAGCAAAGGGTGAACTGATTTGAGGTATCGAACAGCCGTTTCTTCCAAGGTAGGAACTGGAAGCTTTGGGAGTGACTCCTCGAATCGCAGCATAGGACCTTTAGTGGAGTCCTCCTTATAACCTATCATCCAATATCATCAGCCATCAAGTCCTTGGTAGCGGGGCGCGACGGGGAATGTATTCATACCTGCTGGAAGAGAGCTATTGCTCCGCGAATTTGCTGGTGCCATACCTAGAGTCTGCAAAATCTCATTAGCATTCGAACCCCTCACAAAAGGCCATGTAAACTTACTCTTGAAACTCTTGCAGACGTAAAACTATTTCTGAGCACCGGAGACTGTGTACGACCTTTTGCCAACAACTTCAACATACCAACGACGTTTCTTTGAAACGGGGGAAGAGCAGAGAGATTTATTGTAGATGGAAATTAAGAGAGATTCTGCTTGGGAAAAGTAGCAGGGAACTGGTAGATTATGGCTTCTTTTAGATAAAGTTATGGTTAGTTGCTACTGGTAATTACATACATAAACATGTACATTTGGCCTTGGGGCTCGGGATCAATGAAACATGAAGCGAGTACCGAGGCAAAAAAAGAAATGAAGCTAGAACCCCCACAATGTTACCACTTCACGCTGTTCCTACATCCAAGAATGCCGCAAACACCCCACAGTATATTGGGAAATGCCCTCGGTCGCATTGAATTTCGATCAATTTCTCAGCCAAAGTGATGAGTCCTTTGTCGGAGTGAATTATGAAAGATGTGCATACCTAGGCAATTATCCATCTTCCACAATCCGGCTATAGATTCTCTGAAAAGGGGGCAATGTAGGTTACTGTTCGTATGGATATACGAGTACATCCTCGGTCGCCCGGAAAGGAACGTTTGAAGATATCAGAAATATCATTTGACCCCCTTCAAAGAAAACAGACGTTTTTTGTTCATTAATCCTGCGCCTATCATCGGATATATCATTATCAGAAACTTGGTTTGACATGTGATCTGTCTCAAATCCATCTTGTCAGCTCCGTCGTTGCTCGTCTATTAAATCTCTTTATGTGAAGGGAGATGTTCGTACTGACCGTGTCAATTGTGTGAATGGGGGCAAGCCCCCAAACCCCTTTAGCTCGCTGCGCCCGGAATTTTCCCTGTTACGATGATCTGATCTGGGTGTGTGATATTAAGAATCATAGGAAAATTGACACAAATGTTTTCTACCTTCCTCCGCTCATTCAGCAATTTCTACATTCTCAAACCTCACGATCCGTTGCACACTAAGCTTTGAGGTTATATGTATATTCATTCACAAGAATGCCCCTCCCAAATAATAGTCTGCCTCCACGGCAGTGGCCCTCGGAGAGCCAGCGGAGCGTTATTCTAACATTTTTTGTAAAAAGATCAATGCCACCTGCAGTTTCCATATCGATATAATAAAGTATAGTGATCAAAAGATCTGCTTCGGCCTCCGCTTCCCCTATGCAGCACCCTTGATTCCCCGGAGACTTAGAGGAGCCTCATTTGAACAGTTATAATATGAATTTGTATAAGTCTGAAGTATCAGTGACCACCTGTGAGTATGATTTGAGATTTTGTTTTCATTTAGTAACCCATTTTCATGCGTGAACCGATCTCATCCCCTCTACGCTTTCGGGTGTATAATACAGAATCCTCATACATGTCACATCATTCGTTGACTACTAGGTATTTCCAGCCCTCCCTGACCACCTCCATCTACTTTTACTATTCGTTTTCCCACTATCTCCTCCTCAGATACCAATTATGTGCCAACTGCAACAATTCCATAGAAAATGGACTGGGCACTTCACTCAACCCTGGTCTCGCTACTGGATGTCTGAGATAAACCGCACTACAAATCTTCTGATTGACCTCCAGATACCTAGGAATAAATGCAAAAGCACTCATGTAAGGTCTTGGTTGCCAAGGAGTCATATATGGTTTCGATTCATCAATTGGGTTTTCCCTCGCACGTTGAATCGCCAATTTTAATTTTTCTTGGTAATCAGGTGCGTCTTCTGCGTTGATGACTGCGGGGGCTTCCGAAGCGATTGTTTCCAAATCTTCGGATTTGGCTAGTTTAGTGGTGTAGGAGTTGAGCATGGAGGTTAAGTCTGCAACGGATTTGCGTTTTAGTTGGGAGAGGGTGGCTCGAATCTCGCGCTTGAGTTTGCGGAGGGCGGTCTTGCGTTTGCCGGATGGGGCATTCTTGCTATCGGTTAAAAGAACATCGGCGTGTTCTTGAAGGGTACGGAATTCCATGCGAAGGTTTTCCTTTTGCTCTTTTTCTTTGGATTCAGGAGTTTCTGTAGGAGTTACGGCTTCACCACCTTCGGTCTCGGCTTGTGCAGCTGCATCTTTTTCTCTTTTGGCGGCAGCGTTTTTTGCTTTTTGATCATTCATTGCGCGAAGAGATCTTCTGAGTCCTCGACCACTTTTGATTTGGTCTGCGGTTTTTGGAGCGCCGGTTGCGAAGAGAACTCTCTCAACATCTACTTGAAACATGTCTCCTGGATTTAAAAGATATCCTGGGTATGGCATCTAATATTGTGTGAGTAAACGGTAGACTCCAGCCCCAGACATCATCGATTCCATACCTTCTTTCCATTGACCTTAACCTTTCCGTGAACGACGAATTGCCTGGCTTGTCTCGTACTACTTGCGAATAGCGCTCTGAATATAGCTGTATCTAATCGTCTTTCGATAGGTGCGTAAACCATGGACATATAAGGTATTTGATTCTTGTTGAACTGTGGACGAGAAGAACTGTTTAACTGTTCCACCCCGGATCCTCGTCCAGCGGCCAACTCTGAACCATCGTGCTCAGCCAAATATCTATGATCCATAGGGATAACAGCTTTTGCTCTCGGCCTGAACATTCTCGACCATTGCCCCTCTCGAATTTGTTCTCCATGGTATGCTCGACTTATCGACTTTGCTTTCCATTTCTGTTGAAAGAATGTAACACCTTCCGGCCTTGGCTTATATCTTGAGAGATTGTATAAATTGATCTTATTCCATGTTTGGCGGATTTTCTGAGGGGAAAATATAATAATTAGCCCATTGTGTCCCTTGATCGTATAGAGTGCATTGTAGGGCGGGGAATGACAATTTCAGGAAGCAGAATTCTCACATACCACTTTCTTCAACTGATGAAATCTTGACCTCATGATTAATTGTATATGAGGTGGTCGTCGCTCAATATAATAAGCTTGAATGAAGGGTCAATTCGACGACGATGATGTTGAAATTCATTAATCCTCGAAATAAAAAAGTACGCTAATGACACTAGCGTGGAACCTTTTTAGTTTTCCACCTGCAAAAAAAATTGACCATACAAATTAATTTTCTATCACTTGTAGCTTCTTCCAAAACCTTTTAAGCTCTTGAACCAAAAACCAATCTAAATCTTTCGCATGGGAAATTTTGAAATTTTACAACAATTACCATACATCTACATTTCAAAGGCTTTTACTTAACATTTATATTTTCTATCGATCTTACAGTGAGCTTTATCAATTTACTTGATAGCATCTCTTAAAAGATTGCCAGCCTCTTCAAGGGTCGCGCATCACTTTTTTATCTGACTCTTCACCCCGCCTTGCTCGCCTTATCGAGTCACTAAAGACGGATTTTATCTATCTAGAGAATAAAATTTGAATCTACCGTATGTTTCAATTGATAAATCATTGTCGCAATTACTCATCCGATTTTTTCAGCTAAATTCATATACTAAACTACATCAGTTGCACGACTTTTCGCAAACGATCATGTCAGATATCAACATGGAAGGCCAAGAGCCAGTCGCAGCAGCTCCAGCTACTACCAACGAGCAAGTAAAGATCGAAACAGAAACTGCTGCTGCTGCACCAATTGAGCCAGAAACCACATCAGCTACCGAGCCAGAAATCAAGGACGAGAAGATGGGAGATGCTGAAGGTACAACTGAAACCAAGGAAGAGAAAGTAGAGGCTGCCAATGGCGATGTCAAGAAGGAGGAGGAAGATGAGAAGAAGGACAAGAAGTTCAACTATGACGAGCCAAGATTTTACGAAAATGGAGTTTTGAAGACAAATGCCAATGAGGTGCATGGTCAGAACAACAGCAAATATGATGCTTCAGTTCTCCCTGCATCTAATGATGAGGGATTAATTCGCCGACAAGTAAGAGAATCGCTTTGATGTCGGGGGATCTCTACTAATTCTTTTGTGTGAAGGTTGAATTCTACTTCGGTGATTCCAATTTACCGACCGATCAATTCTTGATGAAGACCACTGGAGGTGCAGAGAATAAGCCAGTCTCAATCGCAACTATCCACTCGTTCAAGCGCATGCAGCGATTTCAACCATACTCCTTGGTCGTCGAGGCACTCAAGAAAAGCAAACTCCTTGTAGTTGAAGGAGAGGAAGGAAAGGAGACTGTCAAGCGCGCAAAGGCCTTCGATCCATCTGCAAAGTCTCCAAAACGTGAGGCACGATCAGTTTACATCAAGGGCTTCGGCGATGAGGAACCCAGTTCTCAATTCGACATCGAAGCTTTCGTTGCTCCATACGGTGAGGTCAACTCTGTTCGTCTTCGTCGTACCGAAGAAAAGCTTTTCAAGGGATCTGTCTTTGTTGAATTTGCCGATGAAGAAACTGCTCAAAAATTCATCGCTCTTGACCCAAAGCCACAATGGAAGGGAAAGCATGTTTTGGAAATCAAGTCCAAAACTCAATATATGGAAGAGAAGAATGAAGAAATCCGAAATGGTACGTTAGTTCCAGGTCAACACAGAGGACGTGGAGGACGCGGAAACTTCAGAGGCCGTGGTCGCGGTGGAAACTTCGTCAAGAAAGAGCGCAATGGGGAAGGCGATGGAGACCGTGATCCAAATGACTGGAAGAAGAGACGTGAAAGTGACAGAGAGAACGGATTCCGAGGTGGTCGTGGAGGTGGCCGTGGTGGAAGAGGGAATGGTAATGACAGAAAGGGTGGTCGCAATGATCGTGGACCACGAAACAATGATCGCAATAAGGAGAAGAACGGGTATGTTTTGCATCTCTCTATTTCATATTATATACTAACGAACAAATAGTGACGACAAGGAAGTCAAGACCGAAGTTTCTGCTACAGAAACTGCTGCCGCACCTCCAACAAACGACAAAAAGAGAACCAGAGAAGATGATGGAGGAGCCGATGAACATCAAAACAAGAAAGAGAAGACGACTGCAGCCGAGGTTCCAGCCCAAGCGTAAATGATATCCGGTCCAGACTTGCATTGATCTCTGCGTTTCCCGTTTCAAAACGACACGGTTATTCAAGGGCGTTTATGAGTTTATCCTTTTTATTTTATTTCGGTGGGAGGGGCATCTATGCAACAGTGCCTTTGTACAATGGATTTCACGGCATGGTCATTGCATATTGGTACATGAGTGGTGATTTTTTTGAGCCCTGATTTACATAATGGGTATTTCATTTACTTCATTTTGAAGAATGACATGTGTATGGATGGAATAGTGCGCAAACAATGAGGGAAGAAACCCAAAATTGATAGGTAAAGGGGTTTAGCGATTGCAGCTGAGAGTTTGTAAACCTTTTAATTTCGCTAAAGGCAAATGACAAAAGGAGAACAAAACTTACATTATAAAAAATACATTCAAAAGACCAATCAAGCTTTCATAGTTGAGTGGACTTCATGATGGCTTCCCGCTTTGTAAACTCTAGAATTGCATCTGCTGTAGTTCAAAGTCACGCATCCCTTTCCACGCCATCCAATAGCACCTGTGAACCTCGTTCCTTGATCCAAATCCACATACTCCCCCAGACCATCCTTCATAAGATGTTCAGAGATGCCTCATCTCTACCACCTCCCCCCTCCCTTCCCATTCAACCACTACACTATACAAACAAATCTATCTTTCCATAAGCTCTCCTCATTGCTCTCCTTCTTGCCTCCCACCTTGCCCAAGAAGCAAAATGTCCACCGTAGCAAGGTTTCTTCTTTCTTGTTTTTGGTAACTATATACCGGAGGAAATTTCGTTATAGGGTATGTTACCTTGATTTCTGCGGCTATTTTTGAGTTTTGATTTTTAAGGCTGACTCGAGAGTTGTGGATCTGGATGTAAAAGTGATGGGGGATGTGAGTATGGATATGGGTGTACTGGATGTGGTGAGATTGGATCTGGATCTGGATCTAGTTGTAGATGTAGATGTAGATGTGGTAATTTCCACTCGAGATCCGAGAGCTGAATTGGATAATCACTTATTCAGTCTCTGGATGATGTTAATTTTAGAATCCATTTATCTGTCCCGGAAGGTAGTGAGAGGGATAAATAGGATCGGAGGGTAGGTGTGGCTTTGTTTTGGTTTGGTTTGTTTTGTTTTATGGTGGGTAGGAGAGGAGAGGGTAGCATAGCGGGGTGGGTAGTGGGTAGCTAGGTGACTGGGTAAGTAGATTATGGTGATGGGATGGGATGGGCAGATGATGGGTAACTGGGTAGCTGATGGCGTTGAAGTCTGGAGAAGGGAAGGTGAAGCGAAAATTAAAGGAAGAAGAGGAAAGTAGAAGGGAAAATGATGAGCAAGTAGGGGGTAGGTAAGTCTAATTGAATTAGATTGGATAATTTATACATGTGACTAATATGTAACTCGATTGGTCGAGTGTCAATGAATTCACGGTATAGGATTTAAAAATCATTTTCGAGCGGACGGAATGCTTGTGATTGAGGAGCTTGCAGAAACGGAGCTTGATGTGAATTGAAAGAGGAAATTATATGAGGCTGTTGAAAGTCTGAAGGATCATTACTTCCTTTATTTTGTCTGTATACTTGAAGGGAATAACTAATATATTGCGTGGAGACATTGTTTATTCACATATCACATAGACATTGATCAAGTGAGCTAGACTTGATTTTTGATCTGTTTTTCTTTCTTTTGCTGCTGATTTACTCTAAAGGTATCAACACGTCCACTCAGTTCCTTCTCAGATCTTTTGGCTTTTATTTCGTAGTCCCACCATCCAAATGCAATTGTAAGCCATCGCCTGCACCTCTTCCCCCATCCAGTATGCAACTGCATAGTAATATACAATAGACCATGTCATTGATCATATCCCCTCATTTATATCAATATGAAGATGAGAAATGTAAGAATTTCCTCTCTGCTTTCTTCCGTTCCATGCATGTGCTCATTTCATCGACACATGTCGTATACACATCCACGTCATACAATCGAAGCTCTTAAGCAACAATCTCTCCAATATCCACATGCACTGGTTCCCAACTCTTCACTCCCTCTTTGCCTCCACTTCCAATTTCCATTTCACTCGGCAATGACCTACGTCCTGGGCTATACAGATACCACGACTTTAATCCCGCAACACTAGCTCTAATTCTGGCCTCATTCAAACTTGCACCTGGTGCCTCACCCAACTTTTCTCTTCCGCTATAAATTCCTACTACGAAGACGGGACTTCGAGAGTGTCGACCTGTTTCACTCAAAATTCTAGCAACTGGTGCTTCGAAATCTTCGCGTGCGCATAGACGGGCGAGATCGCGGACTGGTTGGGAAAACTGAAATAACTTATCGAGATCTAGGTGACGGGATAAGATATGTTGTTCGATAAATGTTTTTGCTGCTGCGCGACCTGCATGGAGATAGACTGCACCAATGAGTGCTTTAACAAAAGAGGCGTAGGCATTATTCATTGGTTGAGGATCAGTGACTTGATTCGATTTCCTGACTGTGTCTCCAAATTCATCATCATAGACAACTCTAGATGCCATTCCTCTTCTAAAATAGGGCGCCTCTTTTCTGGTAGTCTTTCCTGTAGGACTGGCCTCTCCATTAGGTGACAAATGCTTGTATTGAAGTAATCCTACATCGACTTCTTGCCCAGGAGCAAAAGCAGGTTGAACACCCCAATCTCTTCCAACCAAATGTAAAGTATCAGGACCGCTATATGCCAAAACACTTGCGTAGAAAACGGCCAATGGTAAACGTGGGTATGTACAAATAAGATATTCGGATACATGGTAATTTAGGAGATCGCCTCCAATACGAGAGAGTCCTGCATTATTGAAAGCTGGGTTGTTGTTTGCGGAGGGGGTAATGAGGGTTCGAGCGACTGTTTGGAGGGGTAATTTGGAGGGGAGAGAAAGACGGGCGTGGAGAGCCGCTACTTTCGCGGAGGGTTTTTTGGGGGAGGGTCGCTGGATCGGTGGTTCGAGGGATTTTTCGTCATCTTCAGAAACGATCTCTTCTGATTTGGGAGCAAGTGTAGATGTTGAATTCATACGGACATATGCAGGTATCGAAGTCGTCCTTGGGAGAAGATTTTGTGCTAGAGCATGCCGCCTCGGACAAGTAGAAACCGATCTAGTATTTTGAGAAAGCAATTGGTTGCTCCATCTTTCTAAATGTAACCTCTTCATCATTTCTCCTATATTCCCCTTTCCAACACGACCAGTTCGAGTGTAGGAATTATGATCGAGTAATTGTGGCGGTTAGAAATTGAACCGGCGATTTCGATAACAAATTCCAAAATTTCTCGCCCAAGCTCGTGTGTGATGCTATAATAATTACACTAGTACTGTTACGGTTAGTGGGGACTGGATATCTGAGGAATGAGGAACGACGTCGTCAAAATGGACCAGAATCAAACACCTTAAGAAATTCCTCGCACATTTCGCAATTGATTAAAAATGGTGTGTTTCTTCTTCTCCTCCTCAAACTGCAATGACTGCCAGGAATAACTAACAAATATCCCAGGGCGGCGGCGGCAAAATTCCGTGAGTTCTTTAGTTCCACCAAACCTACCTTTATCCAACCAGCAAGTCCGCCCAAGCACATTATCTAACAACATGATGTTAGATATCCCAAACACGTCTGGTCTCCAGCCGGAGGATGGTATTCACAACCGGGTAACTGGAAAGCGAACACCGCGATCATGGCGACGGTCATTGTTGGGATTACTGCTGGAATGTGGAAATTGAGTGCGGAGAGAGAATTCAGGACGAAGTTTCCGGAAGAGGGAAGGTTTTTCCCAAGTCGATAGTGAGTTTGGTTTATATTTTGCGAATGGGGGTCTAAAGAAAGCTGGGGAACCGCTGAAGGAATGAAGGATAGAGCGCGGAGGGCTGCAAGATATTGGAAGCCGGGCAGTGACTGACAAGATTATAGCTGGAGTAAACAAATCAAGGAGCACGAGGCACAGAAGAATAAGAGCATTACCGATCGTGTGGTAGAGAAGGTCACTGGAAACTAAGCTCGAGAATGAGGAAAGAATTGTACATATTTGGATCGTCATACAATGAATAGGCAACTTCGAGAACAATGATTGCACTCCTTATCATAGTGGAGTTTGATGCATTTTGTGGCACGACATTCTGGGCAAAGTGAGAAATGAGAGAGACAAAATTACGTTATCAGATAGAACGGCGACTATTCTATGTTACGAATATATTGTCCATGATTGTACGACGGCTTCTTTGTTGAAGAATTGTTGCTGCGGTTAGTACTCAAGGTAGTATATACTCGAGAATGTCACCTTTTGCACCGAAATATTCTCTGCAATCGTGCCGCACAGCTCATTGATAGAATATGTCAATCAGTTCACGGCGCCCTGTTACAATTCACACAATGGTTCACTCCTCATTTTTAGAGCGTGTTCATTGTGTTTCCACTTCCTGGGTCGAGATTATCTAGTAATTTGTTAAGTGTCGATTTTTCACCTGAGCCTCTCTTTTATGGAAATGTGTGGTGTTCAGTCTAGTCATAATTTAGGCTGTATATCCGGTATATCGAGTTGATTATCTGGAAGTGAGTTGTGCAGTGAGTGTTTATTGTATCAACACAATACATACAATAGAATTTCAATATTTGAAGATAGGTTACACAAGAAGAGTTACAATCGAATTGTCTATATACTCCTCAGTATAACATGTATTAAAGTGTTCTTCAGTGATGCCTACTATCTGACTTCTTAGCTCGAGGTATTCATCACTAATCCCGGGGATCTCTCATGTTATCGAGTGATTGAATTCGTGATCCAGAGTTACATCGTGATGGTTGGTTAATTGGGATGTTCTATTGGTGAAGTCGCAGCTGAATAAACAGAAGCCGAGTCCTTCTACTCTATACCTCGCTTCTTCGAGACCTCATGGATTGAACATCAATTCCGGTATCATGATCTGGTATCGTTTCTGCTCAAGCGGTGGTAGTTAACAACGGTAGTAATAACATGATCTCAACGAA